TTGAATTCAAAAAACTTTATACCAAAAAATATGTTTGTACCTTGCTTGACAGATGTATATTTCTTCTCCAGGGCACTCCAGATTTCTTGTGGGGATTTGATTGAACGAAACAGATCGTATAATTGATCAAACAGTGAATTCAGAATATAGCATTTGCAACGAACTTCATCCTCCATGTGTTTCTTGCGGGTTGCGATAGTTTCTTCATCTTCTTTGTCAGATAGTTCAGGAATAGTTGGCAGATTTTCACTTAGCAGATACACAACACCTTGAACACTTTGGAATTGAACTTGAAAACAGAAGTTAAACCAGTAACCGAACCAGTAGCCTTCATTGTTGTCTAATTTCCTTAAGATTGTTAGCAAAATAGAATTTTACCAAATTAGAAGGCTTTGATCGTGTATTTACTGTCCTTAAGAAAATTATGACCCCACTATGTTGCTGCTAGATTTATGGCAGATTCCTCTAGAATTAACAAAGTCAAACAGAATTTCAGATAACAAACTTTGAAATTCTTCCAAGAACAGAATAGAGAAACGTTTGTTTTGTATATATATAAATTGAAAGATCTGTACAGGTATTTATAATACCTTAGTGAGGAGACATAACTCTTAGGCCAAAGAGATGTAAAGAGGAGACACAACTCTTGGACCAAAAGAGATGTATAGAGGAGACACAACTCTTGAGCCAAAATACATTTAGCAATTAATTAATACAAAATTAATTAATTATTTAAAGGTTTCAAGCTCAAGATGCCCCAAGTGCCCATCTTTTAACTTTAAAGATTATTTTATTTAAAGTCTAACCAAGGTCCATTGATTTGAAATATTTGGAGCTTTCCTTCAAATATTCCCACCATCCAAATTTATAAAAGTTGGTGTGTTTCTCCTTTTAAACCCTTACATTCCCCTTTTTTTTTTAATGTGAGATTCTTTACATTACTAACTATCTCTAACAAATAGAGTATGGCAGATTGTTTTCGAAAGTGGGTTCAAGTGTAACAGTCGAGAGTTGAGAAGAGTCGAGAGTTGAGCAAAGCCTGCATAGGAGTGGAGGAGGGAAGAGAGATTTGGTGAGGAGAGCAGCCGATAAGAGAAAACGAAGAAAAAAGAAAATTTGAGGTTTTTCTATGTTACGAATTTGGGTTAATTATCGAGTGTTTTGGAATGGATAATACCGTGTCTTATTTGGTAATAGATAATCCTATTATTCTTAGAATTTAAACCTCTTATTCTTAAAATTTCTTCCCCTAGGTCAGAAATTGTTGTGGTTGTTGTCATTATTTTCCATTAGATTTACCTTAAGGGGTCTCTCATTTTGTAAGTTTGTACTAATCCTATGCCTCTCTTCAACCCTAAGCGCGTTTATAGTTTGGGTCAAGGTTACCTTTTCTTGCTTATGTCTAAGGATCTTAGCAAAATTATCCTAAGAAGGTGGAAACTTGTCAATTAAGCTTGAAACTTTAAAATCTTCACTAAATGTAGTTTCACTCTTTTCAATTTTTCTCAAAAATTCTTGATATTCATGAATTTGATCGCCAACGGGTTTATTCTCCACCATTTTATAATTATTGAAATTAGAGATCATAAACCGTTTAATTCCAACATCAACAATTCCATACTCGGCCTCTAAAGTGTTCCAAAACTCTTTGGCGATTGTCATAGTATTATGGTAAACATCATAAAGATGGTCAGAAAGAGCACTAAGAATCCTATTATGACAATGATATTCAATTTGTTCAGGGGTATACCATGAATAGAACTCTTGATTAGGTTGAGGCTCTTCTATAGTAGAAATTAAGCCTAATACGGTCAACCAATATCGAACTTATTTTTGCCACATATGAAAATTTTAACCACTAAATTTTTCGGGTTTGATACTATTAACTTCTTCTAGTCTAGTCATCCTTAATTTAGAATTCAAGGGCAAAGAAATAATAAGAGATATGCAAAGAACCTGTATTGAATTTAAATGTCAACTGTTAAAACTCTGTTTGTAACGAAATTAACAAATGTAGTTAAATTATTGTAATAGCTCTTGAAACTTTATTTTTTTTCAAAGCAAGTATATATATATATATATATATATATATATATATATATATATATATATATATATATTTTTTTTTTTTTATACTAAAGCAAGTAACTATTGTTTTTTTTATTGTTGAGGTAGATTCGGTTACTACAAAAACTGGTTTTTTTTTTACACTGTTTTCCAAAAAAAAAAAATAGAAAACAGTTTTTTATTTTAGAAAAACTCTTATCCAGAAAATTTAACAAACTGTTTTCTGTTTTTTTTTTTTGGAAGATTGTAAAAATATATATTTTAAGTATAGATTTATAATTGAAATTGATAAAAATTACTACTATACTTTTGGCCAAATCAACAATTATTAGAATTATGATGTGAGCAATATTATCAGTGTTGTAATCTAAAATTCAAAATAAAACATGCAAACAATACTTATATCATATAACATGCAATTTAAATAAATACAGAAAATTTATAAACATGCAATCTAAATAAATTAAATTAATCGATTTGGAATGAGCTAGCTTGCGAGTCCGAGAGGCGTGTAATCACTGTCCTAAAGCAGCTGAGCCTCTCCACGTGAGGGTACTAACGGACACCAATGACTCCAAGATCCAACCCAGACGCTCGCAACAGCACCTTCTCAATGATCACGTCCACTAAAAGGTTGAAATGAACTTGACTCGAATCGAGTTACCCAAAAATGAAAAAATGATAATTGAAAAGGAAGACCAAGTGTAAAAGAAATAGTTGAAAAGGTAGGCAAGTGTCCAGAATGAAAGGAGGAATTAGAGAGTCCCCTAGAATGAGCAATAAGACAGACACTTGGAGAGGATTTCGTTATTTTCACAGAAGCTATCTCAACAGCCTTTTATATAGTGAATTGTGTGTATAACATACACATGAATTATTCAATTTTTTTCCTTTTAGCCGTTTGGCACATGATGTATTTTCTATGGTTTTCAATGGCTTTCAATGACTTGGCACATGTCGACTTTTCAATGATTTGTAACCTACAATGATATATTTTCAATGAATTTGATTATTTGGCTTGAATAGCTATAAAACCAAATTTAAGGTCAATAAAAATTATTCTTTAATATACACACTAAATAGGACCAAAAATTTGCAATTGAAATTTACTATTTAAATATAATTAAAATCGAAATTCGATAAAAGTTTTAAAAACTTAATTTTATTCTTACAATTCCTACATATCTCACACTCATAAATCATGTGATGCCGATGGTTTTTATGCTCTTTAGGATGTGTGTTTTTGCTGCTATATATGTTTTGTATGTGTGTTTTTGTGTGTATCAGTGTGTGAGAGAAAAAAAGAAAGTATAGGTTGGAGAGAGGCTGTGGAGTGGTGGTGGTTTTGTGAAGGGATAACAAAGTTGAGGTGTGGGAGATAGGTGGAGAGAACAGAGGTGATATAATTTTGTTGTTTTTTTGATTATGGGGGAAAATGCTTTTCCTCCGGCAAAACCTGTGGTAATGTAGGGGCTGTTTATTAGGTAGAAATATAATAGTAGCACATTAGTGCCAAATGGTTTATGTGGTTTTTGTTAGCTATGGGGATTAGATGTTACAGGACCACAGTCGAGGTGAGTTAAAAAGAAGTTTCCCCATTCTCTAATTTTGAATTTTGAGTACAGAGTATTTTTTTTTTTTTAAGGTTTCATAAGTAGTGGAAACCTAGATCTTTTGTGGTTCTTGGGCTAGAAAGATTACAATTTTGAAAACTGCCTCTCTCTTTTTTCAGTATTTGTAAGAGCAAGTAAAGGAGAGTTAATTTTTCACAGCAGGCTGGATAAGGAATTTTATATTTAGTGATCAGAAACCATATCTAGATGGTTGATTTTGGGTAATGATTAGGTGAATCCTGGGGTTAGCACCACCTTATCTGGATTTTACTTGTTTTAAGACATTTCAGTGTCAATTCTCATTGCATATTATAGGTGAGAATCAATGGCTCGCTTTTAAACTTTTTGAAAGAAAAAAAATATATGTGAAAAATTCATATACCTGATGAGTTTTTGAAATCCAATTTTTCGATAAGTATAAATGTCATGTGTTCTTTTATAATGGCAGAATAATGATGAGAATTTAGATTTTTGTAACATAATAATTTATTTTTTTTTGTTTTATTTCTTGGTAAATAAAGGTTTTTGTGGTAACTTAAGGTTTCTGCAATCCTTAGACCAAAGGGTTTCAAATTTTGTATACTTTGAAGGGTGGCGTTTCTCATTTTCTCAAGAGTGAAGGCCCAGTGGAATGGGTTGGAATCAAGTAGGATAGATGAACTTTCCGAGAGTAGTTCATTTGCTAGATGCTACACATGTGGGTCACAACTTTCTGAGTTGTGGCTGTCTCTGTTTTTGAACACCATCTTTCCATTTGGTGTTGTCCCTTGGTGCTGCTCCCAGTACGATAATGGTGATCCTGCTGCGCATGTCTCTGTTTTTTTTGACCTTTGGTGTGGAATTTAGTTGGAAGTTTAAGCTCAAGGCCTCCACTTCCTACTAAATTCTTTCTCCTGGGCACTTCGTATGTTCTGTTCCTGCTCGGTCAATGTTTTTTAAGGCTTGTTTATGTTCTATTTCTGCTTGGCCGGTATTCTTTATGGTTTGTTTGGGTTTTTTCATGGTTTTGGAACGGCCCATGTGTTTTTTTGTAAGGGTCATTCCCTTTCTTGTTCTATTGAATTTTTATTTTCCAAAAAAAAAAAACTTAGGTAGCATTAGATTTCACTTGACTTGGTTTTGGTTGTAACATGATATTGACTTGTGGAATTTATGCGAGGTGATCGAATAGGTTGGCCAAACAGGAGTGACCCATTGACCAGGACTTTTGATCATGAGTTGGAAGAAAATAGCATTATATGGGCTGTTCTCATCGCCTGCTGAAAGGGATTCATAAATTATCGTCACCAGGTAAATAACAATAAGTAACTTGATTGAACAATGCAGGTGGATGTTTGTCATGCCTATCAACTTTTGAAAAGAGGAGGGTTGAAGGACGAGAACATAGTTGTGTTCATGTATGATGATATTGCTTGGAGTTTGTTCAATTCGAGGCCAGGCGTCCTTATAAATCATCCAAATGGTCCTGATATATACGCTGGGGTGCCTAAGGTACATTATTATGATATAAGTCACTATCAAACTACATTATAAATATGATTATCATCATTAGTTAGTTGTGTGACATAACTAATTTATATGTGAAAAGAGTCCTGTGACGAGTTGTTCATATCATTGATGCATTTGAACTAAAATTGGTTGCCTCATTGTTGCTATTGATCAACATTACTAATTTTGATAATTCTTATAGGACTATACTGGTAAGGATGTCACTGCTAAAAACATTTATGCTGTGCTACTTGGCAACAAGAGTGCTATAAAAAGTGGTAGCGGAAAAGTAGTGGATAGCAAACCTCATGACAGAATCTCCGAGCATTACTCAGGTCATGGGAACGTATAATATCTTGTTGGGTAATTGACTTTGTCCAAACATCAAAACTAGAACATGTATAATAGATGATGAACACATGTTTTGTACGTAGATTATTTTATATTTAAAATGTTACATGTTAGTGTTATAAATATTATGAAATAATATCAACTACAATACTGGTACTTACAAGAGCCGATTGTATAATAAAAAACTTGAATTTAAAATGTTACAAGCAATTAGCACATAACCAACTTACAAAATGATCCATGTTACATGTAAAAGGTTACCAAGAAATAAAAAAGAGTAATGACATATATACAGTTAGGTAAAAAATTAGAAATAGTAACTTAAATGTTGGATCATTCCAATGTTGCCTACTAAAAATTTTAAAATAATAAAAACTTGAGGGATTTTTCATTTTGTGCTAATTGTTTGATAAAACTTTCATAGTTTTTCATTTGGTTTTCTGTTACAAATATATACAAAAAAAAAATTGAATTTTTATTTTTAATTTTATTTCAATAAATAATACAATAGAACATGAATTTTGGTTATAAAATTTAAAATATTTGATATTTTATCTTTCATTGGAATATTTTTTGTTTAAGTATAATATTTTAAACTTAAAGAGTCTAAACATTATATACTTACAAATTTTAAGGGGTCTAAATATAATTTATTAACTAATATATATAACGTCGGGTCTAAGTGTTATGTGCGTACAAATTTCAGGGGTCTGTGTGTAATATTTTAAATATCAAGGGATCTGAATGATTAAGTGATAAATCATTCTCTCATTTTTTTAATATATACTTACATACGATTTTTTAATATTTATGTCTGTATTTATATAAAAATAAATAAAATCCGATAAATTCCTAATGTCTACCCTCGTGAACGTGATATCCAAATTAGGGTCCGAATGGGAAAGGGACTAGAATTATAATTTTAGGGATTTGTGGTCCCAGAAAATATAGGGATTGGTACAAATTCTTTCTACAAAGCAAACCACCCCCTTTGTTTTTTTTGGACAAAGCATGCACATATACACAGCAAACCACGCCCTTAAAACCCCTCTCTTCCTTGTGACTGCGACAGTGTCTCTCTTTCTCTATACTAGTTTCTGTTTGTTTCTATCTGTGTTGATTTTTCTGGAACGATGGCAACAAGCACTGGTGCAAAGAAAACTTTCATCTCTGTTTTAGCTTTTTTTTTTTCGTTTGCTATTGATTTAAATTTATTTTTTTTCAATTTTTTGTGGTTTCTTGTAGTTCGTCGGCCGTTATATGTCGATTTGAAGCGTCGGTCGGTGACCTTGTTTATTCTGGTCCTCTTTACGACCGTGATGGTGTTTGCTGTGGGAATGTTATGCTCATTATCCAAAGGTAATTACAATGGAAGCTTTTTTCTCTTTTATTGTTGTTTAAATTTTATATTTGTTTAGGTTTTTGATGATTAAATGCTGAAAGGCTCTTTTGGTTGCCGAGAGACAGAGAAAGAAAGCTTAGCTTAGTTCTCTTAGTTTTAGAGAACAGAAAACATCTCTAGGTTGTTGACTGCGGTTAATCATTAGGTGAATGTTAGGGATGGTACTACATTGCTTTGGACTTTGTTGTTTTGTGTCCATTGTTTGTTCTGGTGCCGTTTATGATCGCGATGGGGTTCAGTGTGGGAGTTTATGCTCATTATCGCACGGTAACTACAATTGCACCATTATCTTTCTTTTGTTTCTTTTGGTCCATATTGAGTGAACTTTTGAAATGATCTTGTGTTCGTGTTTTGTTTTTTTTTTTTTTGGGGGGGAGGGGGGGGGGGTTATATATGTAGGATGGTGTTCAGAATTAGAATTGAGATATCTTTAAACTTTTTGTGTGTTTATCTGGTTAGGTAAATTGCATATTTGTCTGGGCTTTTGTTGACTAGATGATGAAACCCTCTTGGTTGCCAAAAAACAGAACAAGAAATCTCAATTATATACCTCATGTTTTTCTAACTTTTACTAAAAAGGTATTATAGGGTTTGGGGGCTAGAAGTTTAAAAAGTGTGAAGATTGTCTTCTTTTTTCTTTTCCCCACATTTTGCACAAGAAGTAAAGGGGGGGTTAATTTCACAGCATGCTTGCACCAGGAATTTCATGCGTAGTGATCAGAAACCATCTCTATGCCAGGACTTTGTGTCATTCCAATGCCATACCAAATTACCAATTGAATATAGGTCGGAATTAAGGGTTTGGTTACAAATTTTTGTGAAAAAGGATAGATGGACGATTTGAAACTCGCTCACCTGAGTTTTTCCTTGTGGCTCCCTTGTGTTCCTTTGTAATTGTGGGAAAATGATTGATTAAGATTTCTAAAACTTGTAGCTTTTGTTGAATATTAATCACTCAATAGTCCACTTAGTGCTAATAAAAGCGATAAAGAAGTGAATCACTTTCTAAATATTGTATGCAACTTTAACTACTTTGTCTCTTATGATATCACATGTGTAAAGTTCTTGCTACAATCTGGCGGACATTAGTGCCGTATAAGTTTTTGCCTCAAAACTTATTGAGATACTGATGTGTTATGCTTCTAGTTGCATTGAAAACACAAAAGGGCGATTTTTCTTTCATATATTTTGCTGATATTTCATAAAAAAAAAAAGCGTGGAGAGAAAAATGTAGGAAAGTCAGCACAAAAGATACACATGTGAGTACTTTCTGGAAAAGATACACGTCTAAGCAAACACAAAATTTATACGTAAGTTCTTTTCAGAAGTTGTTTCCGTCTTTCTCTGCTCAGTGTGTTGTTCTGTTTCTTTCTCCTGTCTCTTGTTTTTTCTTCTGTCACTGATACATTCTAAATGGTTGTTTATAGCTGAAGTTTCAGTTGACCCTTGGGTCTGCATCTGACATTGACACCGTCTTTGGAATGTAGGAGATGATCGCGCAGGTTCGCAAAATAGGTTGGACCACGTGCTTCATGCTGGTGTTAGGCAGAGGGATGCAGTTTTCCACTACCTATGGTTTAGGGTGAGCACTGGTCTTTCAAATTGTTTATGTGAAGCATGTAAAATTGGAATGCGGGAGAAACCACGTTTCAGATTGACATAAAATAACCAAGAAAGGAAAGGAAAGAACCACTTTCATTAGCATTTTATGTCATATTCTCAAATGTCGTATACTCTGTCATCCAAACAAGTTTAAGTTTCCAAAACTTTTAACGGAATGAATTTGTAATGGCCTTTTACTGTTTGTGCTCAGAAGATCTTTTGTCCTCGTGATTACTGAATATAGGATTGTAAAGTAATTGGCAAAATTATCTCATAGTCTTTTTCCACGTGCTAGTACAAGAATTCCAAAGATGGTTCCGAGAAGACAAAAGTAATAAAGGAGATAAGGGATACAATGATGCGTAGGAAATACTTTGATGGAAGTGTGGACATTATCGCTCTCTTCCTATTTGGACCGGGGAAGAGTAGGTCAATTCTCAAATCTGAGCCAGTTATGAATCATACGGACTGTCTCCCATCAATGGTAACAAATTTGTTTGATCCATATTTTTTATTCTTCTTGATTTTTGCAAGTTTCTAATTAAATCTTTGGTATGGGATTCACAGGTGCAGGTGTTTGAGACCCACTCTGGGGTGCCAGATGAAGATGGCTTGATTCACACGAGAGAATTTGCAATTTTTTGCAACAAGGGGATCTCCCAAGCTGCACTGGAGAAAGCTTGCATAGCTGCATGTAGTGGGTACGACAAGGGACAACGGGATCCTTCCATCCGAGGTTATTAGTGTTTGATTGTCATAGTCAATAGACTTATTGAATATGGTGCTGTCTTGAGATCTGGTGGGTATCTTAACAAAACTAATTACCTGATATTTTATACATACGCATCCTTCTAGGACTGGAGACTGAATGTGCATACAACAGCTGAATTTCTCTCTATGACAACTTAGTTTTGTCTATGATGACATGTTTCTGATATAGATCAGGCCCAAGGTTGTTTGACCATTGGGCACTACTAATTCATACAATGGACTTGGCCTGGAGATGCATACAGTATACTGTTTCTAACAAGAATGGTCGGTTTTTTCATTCTCATTCTGTAATAAAATTCTGATTCTGTCCTAATTCCCACATAGACCCATTAAACTTTATGCGTTGATTCTGGTTAGCTATAGGACGACTAATGTCAGCCAGATTATGAGAATATCTTAAAATTGATTACAATATAATACGTGGAATGTGACGCTTTAAGTTTAAGTCTTAACTTCATCAGTTTATGACCAATGAATAGACTATTAATTGACTAATTTCCAACAAAAATTACAAGTTCAAGAAATTTGAATCAATCATTTTTCTGCAATTACTGAGGAACACAAAAGGGATCTACATGCTATAGTAGAGGGTTTCAAATAATCCACCAACTAGATATGGTTTGTGCATTTTCTCATGAATCTAATACACAGGTTCTCTACCATTATATTTTATATCTGAATAGAAAACATGTGTATTAGATTCCTGAGAAAATGCACATCCCGGCATGATTAAAATAAAAAAGTAGCTTACAATTTGGAGAAAATGCATTTCTCTCAAAAAAGTAGCTTACAATTACTTTAAAATAATAAAATTACATCACCTCGTTCTGTTTGTCAGTCTCTCACCTAGGCCTGTTAATCGTGTGCTGCTGAGGCGAGTTCGAGTTAGATCTTAATAGGTTCATGCCAAAAAACATTTCCCTCATACTCCATTAGTTTATTAATCCGTGAACAACGAATTGTATTGTATCAAATTCACGTTGTTCATGAATCGTATATGACTAGTATATAAATGAGTCATGTCGTGTACTTCTTTTGATTAGTTTCACCTATACTTAATTCGTTTATTTATTGAGTCATACGCGTTTACAAAACGGGTGACTTAAGAAATACTAAAATCTTCTAATTTTGTGTTTGTGTTAACGGATAATGTCATATTTTGAACTCACCCCTCACCTCTGTCTTATCCCCTCACAAAATCACCTCCACTCCACTGCCCCTCTTTCTTTTTCTCTGTCTCTAGACAATACACCAGGTTTGATCTTTGAATCACTAAAATCGCATAAAAACTACTTAATCTATCTGACAAAATTAAACACCAAAAAAGATTTACAGATATTTCAACTCCTCTGATCAACATTTCTATTTATAGTCCCCACATAAATTAATTTCTATTTAAATTAACTGAATCAATATGAAGCAAATTACAAAACATAGATAAGAAAAAGAGAGAAATCTGTTTACCTTCCATCATGGAATATATTTTTCCTAAAGCACAACCCTTTCTTCAGAGTTCTAGCAAGCCCTTCTTTGATCGGGCATTTCTGCGAGTTGATTCTACACCCATTTCTGGGTATTTTCTGCCACATCTCAAACCCGTAGTACCAGGTCTTGACCACGATATCGTACAAACACGAACAGCTTCACCGGAGATCTCTTCATACATAGATGCAACGGCCATAAAACTTAATTTTGATTTCAGAGATGTAACCAATCACTGCACTTTCTTATTTTCATCATTTGCTTCTTGTAATTTTGATTTCAGGGATTAGTTTTCTTTTTCTTTTCTTTTTTTTTACTGAGCAAAAAACAAGTACAGAGATGGAGAAAACTAAATACAAATAAAGCTAAGCAAACTAAGTTCCTGGCCTATGCTTCACCGGGGTCTTCAATGTCAGCTTGGACACTGGTCCTTACTGCTTGTGGAATTGCGTCCAACGGCAGGTTTCCTGAGTTCACACTCCCCACTTCCATTTCATCCTTACAAAACTATCACGCTAATGTCATAAAAAGAATGATAGAAGGTCGACATTAAAACAATCTGCTTAGTGTTTGTTGAGGACGACAGCCCCCTTATTCTTAAGAATGAAACTATGAAGTCTCTTCACGTCTAACTTCTTATCCTCCAAAAGCAACATTTCCAACCAATTGGCAAAAGATATAAGAAATTTTCAGTATTTCCCCCTCCATGAATGCCATTTTAGCTTTAACTGGAACCACAAAGGAGGAATGCCCAAAATTCCTCCAGTCAGCCTTGGATCAAACACATCAAACTGCACACGACTCAAAGAATCCAAAGTAACCTGAGCAGGCACAGCTGGCAGAAGCACTGGGCAAAGCTTCTGCAAGCACTGTTCCAGCGAATTCACGAGCCTTCTGCAGATGCGCATTGGCTACAGATGCAATCTCAAAAACGGCATCACGCAGCCCCTCACGAGAATCCAAACAGATCTCTGACCTCCCTCCCTGCTGAACCAACAGCCCATGTTTGGCTGCCACCTCAAATGGTATGTAAGAAAACTGAAAGTTGCGGCTAGCGTGGTATGGCAATGACTTGAGCAGCAAAAGAAGACCGCTTGCTTTACCAATATGGGACGCTGCATGATCTGCCACAGTGGACCTGATATCACCAGCTTGAAGTGTTGTGTACAAAAGAGTTGATACAATGTCCTCAGCATATTTCTCCAACTCTTCTACAGTTTCAGGAATATCAGTAACCTCTCTTCTTGCATCATTGATCCGAGCCTCAACAGATCGTTTCAGCCAGCTCTTGCTAATTTTATGCTCAGATATCACAGATGCAAGGGCCTGAGCTGCTTGGTGCTCAATTAACTTGTTGGCAAAGATATTGTCTATGGCTTCTTGCCACCAGAGCAGGCGCATAAGGCCAATTTTGGGGTCAGAAGCAACATCCATGGCTCTAGCAGTCTCAACATTAAAAGCACGAAGAACAAATGCAGACTTGAGGAAAAAAATATAAAAACTTTTTCAATTTTTGTTTGTAACATACGAGAAATTTGATTATTACCGTTCCATCATTTTCTCCCCACTATACGTTTACATAACAACAATAAGAAAATAGCATTGATAAATGATAACGCAAGACAGTGCATTTCAACCCCATCCTTGGACCCAAGCCCAGGATCAAGATAACAATATTTTACCAGCTCTTAACTTAGTCTTCGTCTCCCACCGATGCCAATCCTACTACCTGAAATCAAAGACAAGCGTTCATGCCCGTTAAGCAGCCACACGAAACCTGACCGTCACAAATACAAGTCATCCTGGCTCGTTAGTACATTAGAATGACACCGCTTATGCTAACAGTTTATTATAAGTCAGGCTTCGAGCATATAGAGCAACCATCAATCTAAAATGTTACCTTTCAATCAGCCATAAAACAGAACATGAGAAGTCTATAAAAAACTTGGAAACACAATGAATGAAGGGGTGACAGGTCAAAATTATCAAAATGTTAAACCGTTGTTTTATCAACTAATCCATTGAAATACAATCTGGAAACGACTAGCAATGGCGCCGACTTTTTCTGTTCATTTGAATCTGGCTCCTTCTAATTTATCTCATCTGAACAATCCCTGAACTAATCAGTTTCTGAACCTTGCTCATCACTTGAGGGTTCTTCATGTGCTCTTGTGCAGCTTTAGGATTCTCCTGGAGATCAGTCAGCACCTGAAACAACCAAAAACATATGAGCCACTACATCAAACAGAAGGTTTAAGATGTCACCTTTAGAGCTGAGAGCAAGTCATTATGGTCAAAAGTTTTTCAGGGATCCTAACTCTCTCTACCTGTCTCATAACGGGATCTGTGAGGATGTTCTGAATCTCTGGGTCCTGCATTGCCTTAGCCTGCAGAAATTGTGAGGTATTATTACATGTTTATTTTGAAGAAACAGACCCACCAAAAGTGGAAAGTATCCAAACCTGTCTCTCTTTCAATTCCTCGGGACTGAAATCCCCACGGCTTGCCTTGTTATTTTGTTCTACACATCTGCATAATTTTTGACAACAGCTCCCACACATCATGTTAAACCAAAAGACAGAACAGACACACCTAGTGTCCTACAAAATAACTAAGCTAAGAAAATTGTGTCCAAGTCCCCGTACCTTCTTACACCATCCAGCAATTCCTGATTGTGAGGATCATGCTTCAATCCCTCCCTGTATGTTTCTAAAGCTTTCTCATACTCCTTCATGAAGAACTGGACAGCACCCTTTCTTGTATACCCCTTGGCAAATTTTGGATCAAGCTCAATGCACTTCTCTGCATCTTTTAGTCCTTCAGGCATTGCCCCAAGTTTGGTGTAACAAGCAGCCCTGTTGCTATACGCCTGAAAACAGCAGACAGCCAGGATTACAACAGTTTAAATGACATATTATGTTAATCTAGGTAACAGGGTTCATAGACACTAAAAACTCAAATCGGTTCGTACCCTTGGGTCTTTGGGATTCCTCCTCAAGGACTCTGTATAGTGCTTTATAGCCTCTGGGTACTTCTGCTCTTTGAAAAATTCATTGCCTGTGAATAACAGTACATATGTCAATCACATGTTAGAAATAACGGAAGAGAGAGAATGCTGGTGAAAGAAAAGACCTAACAAAGATGTAAAGTACCTTTCTCGCGCTCCTCGTCAGCTAATTTTGGATCAAAATATTCTTGTTGCTCCACTTCTTTCTTTGCCTTCTCAGCTTCATTGAGCTTCTTCAGTGTGTCAGGATTGCGATGCTCTGTAAGAGCCTTCTGGAAAGTCTCAATTGCAGGTTCGTAGTCCTTTGAGGATTTTGCCATCTTCACCAAGGCGGTCCCCTTTCTTGTCAAGGCCCTTGCAATCATCTTATAATCGGACCTAAGCTCTCTTCCCCGTTCAACAGCTTTATCACAATCTTTCATGCAGTCCTCGTACTGAAAGAGAACATAAGTAGATTAGATAACACTACATTTGAATCATGAATGCAAACAAATATGGTCCACCTTTTTTGAAAACTTTTCAAACAAGCACAATGTAAGGAGCCACATATAAATTGTGTATTACAACAAGCATGTGAGATCACATGTATGAGTGAAATGCCTCCCTGATGATTGCAGAGGTTAGAAGCATATAACATAAATGACCATTGCTAGAGTTGGCCATACCATGTATCACCATAGCCATAAACCATAACAGTGCCAGGTGACAAGGACAATACTTAAATTCTCTACAGAAGTTCAAAGAAGGGTTATTTTAGCACTTCCAGACCCTAGATCATCTTTGTACCATACGTTTTACAAGCACATAACACCAGCAGATTGTAAATAAACACCCATTGAGCACCAATTTGAAATATTCTTGAGGGATATGACTATTTTATGTAATATTACCCTCTTTTCAACATTGACACAACAGCAGATATACAACTATTTCGGGCCCAACAATACATACAAAGACCTCATTTTTTCACAAAAGACTGGCTGCATTTATGTCCATCGTGAGATGCCATGCCAGAAATGTTAAATAATCTAGTGTATCTCAATGCATAGGGATTCAGTCTAGGGCTATGATCTGGGCTCCAAGAACATACAAGGTAACAATGCAAAAGCACACTTCTCAAATGCTGCCACTTGACACCATCCAAGAAACCACAAGGTAACAAGGAAAAAATAAGGTAAGTAAAAAGCAAGTTGGGTAACCAAGAATGCACACACACTACATAGAACATGTGCTATTGCCAAGCTAATCCCAACCCTCCTCTATGCAGACTCCGTTAGGCTTTTATGTCCTGCTATGCTCAACATGAAGAGAGTGCGTGAATCTCCATGTTTGGTTGGCATAACATTAGAGGGAAATGAGAATGATCATCATATCTAGCATTTTTGCAAAATCGATAGGAATTCCCAGGGATTGCCTTAGAATATAAGTTTTGTCTTTCATTATTAACATCCAATCCCATGCTAATAAGAAAAACGAGCGATTGCTAGTCAACTTTCTTTCATTTTTTGAAATAGAATGGTAGGGGCGGAGGCTTTGAAGGCTTTCTAGCTTTCTTCAATTAGGGAATAGCGCAACTACCAACCGTTTCCAAAGCTTGTAAAGCATGATGCTAGTAACTAAAACACCTTCACACACCAAGCCTACCAATTAAATCCACCAAATTATTGTATTAGTATTAAGTTTTTGTACAAGAACACAAAATATACCATGGGTCACACCACAAGACAATTAATCAATTTCACGATAATTCACATGACAATTAACAACAGCTAGGGTGATTGCAATTTTAAATCTTCCTAATGGACAACTAGATGCAAGATAACCAGAAACCCAACAAACTTGGAAACATAGAGACGACAAAAAAAAAAAAAAAAGATTAAATTCAGCCATTGTCATTCAGGTAAAATAATAAAGGACTTAGAACAATAGCAATACAATGCCATCTTTTGTGCGATAGGGCACTTTGCTACTTTAGAACTCTGAATCAAGATATACTCAATTACTATTGTGCAATACTTGATCATAATCAGCAAAACCTGAATTATTTACTTTTAGTGTCACTTATATGAAGTCACTCTAGATCAAGTATAGTGATACAATCACTAACAACAACTATCTACCTAAATTTATGCTATTACTAGGAGAGTCAAAATATGACACGACTTGTTAACACAACACGAAGTTAATGAGTTTTAGTCTTATTTAACTCACCTATTTCGTAAATCAATAGACTATAAATAAATCAAGTATAAGTGAAGTCAAAAATATACAATATGACTTATTTATATACCAGCAATACACGATTGATACACAACACAAACCGGATATGACACGAATCGTTAGACACAAATTAATAAATGAATCGGGATATGGATAGAGTACTTTTTGACACAAACCCATCAAGACCCAACACGATTGACATACCTAGTCATTACATATTAACTAAAAAACTATGAAATATTTTGCACAATATGGTATAGAATTGGAACCATACTTCATTACTTTAGTACCATGAATCAAAATATACTTGATTACTAATTTACTATGATATACTTGTCATAATAATAACTCACTTTTAGTGTCACTATTATAAAGCCATGCTAGATCACGTATGGTAATACAAGCACCAACAGCAACTATTGCTAACCAAGTGCAGCAACTAAAACACCAGATAATATCAACAACCACAACCAACATAGAGTACAAATTAAAACTATAAACAGTGGTTTTAAATTTTAAAACAAAAATAATATTGGAGACAATTAAAGCCATATGAGGCAACCCAACTGAAAGAAAAAGAAGAGTCAAGAGTTCTAATTTACCTTCCCCATTTCCAGGAACACAGCGGCCCGATTTGTGAGGAAAGAAATATCCTCATCATCCAGCTCAATTGCCTTCGTGTAATGCTGAATGGCTGTTTCAAAATCCTTCTTCTTATACGCAGCATTCCCAGCCTCTTTCTCCTTCTGGGCCTGCACTTTTCTTTGCTTAATCTCTCTCTCCTCAGATACTTCCATAGGTTCTGGTTCTGGCTCTGGCTCCGGCTTCTTCTCCTCCTTCCCGGAGGGCTCCGCCTCGGCCTGCCTCTTCCTCTCCATCGGTGGAGGCGAAGAGTCCATCGGCACATCCATATCCTCAGGTGTCCTCGTCTGTAACGACACATTCAACAACACCCCCAAAGCTTGCATTACTCTCTGATCCTGCAAATAGAGTTTGAGATTACTAGGATTTTTCTGAAGATCCTGCATCATTTTGACAAAATCAGGCTGTTGGAGAAAGGCCCGAGTGGTTGGATCTCCGGTGAGCTTGGTCCACATCTGTGGTCCAGAAAAGGCGTCGCCGAATGGATTCGACGGAGGAGGCGCCCTAGATCGGGTTAAACCGGCTTGAGCATCGGAAAGGCCGGACTTGAGAGCTTCGTTGTTGGGGTCAATTTCGAGACCTTTTTGGTAGGCGGAAACGGCGTCGTTGTATTGGTGGAGGCCTATGTGAGCCGCGCCGAGGCGAGAGTAGCCCTTCGACCAGTCGGCCTTGAGCTCGACGGTCTTCTGGGCATCGGACAAAGCTTCGGGGAATTTGTTGAGAGAGGCATAAGCGGCGGATCGGTTGGAGTAGAGGACGTGGTTGGTGGAGGAAAGATTGATCGCCTCTGTGAAATGGCGGATGGCTTCGGTGTAGTTTCCGGCGGAGAACGCCGCGTTACCTTTAGCTTTGGCTTCGTCGGCCATAACGTTGTCGATTGAACTGGGTAGACTCACTTTCTGTCTCTCAGGTAAGTTCGAGGATTGGAATAGAGAGACAAAGATGGGGTTTTCAAGAGGGGATTTGGACGAGAGAGTGAGTGCTTCTGGAGACTTCGTGGGAAGGGGAACTACTGTTCTTTATGGCGTGGGTGTGAGGTGGGAATTGGGAGGAGTTGTTTGGCCACGAGCATAGGAATTTTTAACCAAGGTTTGAGCATGGTCATCCTCTTGTTCGACATAAGTGTGCCAATGCTAAAAAATAAATCAATAAAACCTTAAAATCCCTACAAATAGAGAGGAGGAGACAAGTGACAACCCTCCTTTGGTTCATATCCTGAAAACAGATGGAGATAACGAAAAGGAAAAAGGGCAAAAAAAAAAAACTCTTGTTTTTCTTGTGGAAATTCACACGTAGGAAAAGAATATTTACTTGAATAAAGTCATGATCAAAATTAATAACTCTACCGTTAAGAGCAAATGATGAAAATATTTTAAAATGTATATATTTCCCAAATATTTCACCCGAAAAATTAGTTATGTTTTAATCATTTGAGTGAATTACTTTTATCAATTTTGTAATAAATTAATTTATATACATCACCTAAAAAAGATATTATTACAATTAAAGATATTAAGTCTACATATAAACATTTCACCTTGATTTAATTAAATGACGTGGGATTGTCTTATGCCATTGTGATACCAAATTTCATGGTTTTTGACACATCGATTTCACTTTGCTAGTTTATATATATGATTATTTATTGACATTCGTACGTTGCAATTGACTTGATGGTTGCTTGAACTGTCACTCTCCATGCAAAACTCATTGGGAATACTCTATGCCTGAAAGTTTTAAGTGAATAATGAATGTACTTGGTGAAGAGTGAAAACTTGTGGTAAAAATTTTATCCTAGTTTTGGTGGTAAAGTAACATTATTTAATGATTAGTCCAATATTTCCACCTAACTATGACAAAAGAATTATACTTTTCTATACACACACACATCCCAAATTAAACTCTTTCTGCCAATTATATAATCTAATAAATCATTTGACATTCAGTCCTAAATGAATCATATTCTTTCCTGAACCTCCCCTTTCCATCTATTTATAAATTACTTTTTTCATATTTACTACAAAAGTGGCATTCAATCCATTGAAACCTCCTAACAAGAACTACCTCTGTCTACTAACAAAAAATGACAAATTTCTTACCTGGGCCAAATGAAACTTGCCCATGGCTGCCATTTCCATCTCCATAATTAACTTTAGTTCTGTTAAGACGATTTTGCTTTCAGGAAAACGATGACTATTTGTCTGGCCCATTTGAGTTTACTCAAGATTTCTATAGACATAATGAGAGGGTGAGAGGCATCATAGCCGTGGTATAAACTTACTTGAATCACGTATAAACTTTTGGTTTAAAAAGAATTAGTTTTCAGGATTTCGACACAACAACAAAAAAAAAAAAAAAAAGAAGATGCTTCTGTGTTTACAGCATCAAACAGATTAAGCAGCAACTGCTTCCTCTTTTGCAGCGAGCTGATTCTGGATGTGTTGAGGGACAACATCAAATTTAGCCAACTGCATAGTGTAGGAAGCACGCCCTTTTGTCATCCCCCTCAATGTACTGACATATTGGAACATCTCTGCCAGTGGAACCAAGGCATCGACTACCTGCATCAATAACAAAGAAAATTATGAAAGGAAGCTCAGATAATGTGTATATATCTCTATATCTGTGTGTGTGTGTTGTATGTAAAAGGAAGTGATCAAGGGCTGCTTGTTAAGCCCTCCCCCCCCCCCCCCTCTTTTTCCTTCCAAAAAAAAAAACACACACACACAAACAACAGTCTCTCCCACTAGATATGAGACAGGTTTAAGCATTCAGAGTTGAAGAACTTTACGCAAGGCTATATTGTTGACATAAACATGCACATTTATCTTGCAGTATTTCCTTATCTAGTCCACAAAGAAAAGTTAAGATGGCTTTCTTACACAATTCAATTCCACTGATTGCTTATACCATTCCTATAACAATATGCGGCCTAATGATTTAGTCAATAATGAAGGGAACAAGTCTGAAAACAATGATCATGCAAACAAGGACCATGGTATTTCACATACCTTGAGGCCACCAGGTTTGTCACCAAAGCTGTTGATCTGGCCTCTCCTTGAGTTGAGATCACCAATCACATCTCCCAAGTGCTCCTCAGGAGTAACAACTTCAACTTTCATTATAGGTTCTAACATCTTTGGACCAGCCTTTTTCATCCCTTCCCGAAAAGCTCCTCTGGCTGCCAGCTGGAATGCCAATACACTTGAATCAACATCATGGTAAGAGCCATCCACTAACACAGCACGGACATCAACAACTGGAAAGCCAGCAAGCACTCCATTACTCATGCATTCCTCTAATCCTTTCATCACTCCAGGAATATACTCTCTTGGCACTGCACCTCCTTTAATTTCACTCTTGAACTCATATCCATTGCCTGCTTCAATGGGCTCAAACCTTACGGTGATATCAGCAAACTGTCCTTGTCCACCTGACTGTTTTTTATGAACATACTTCACTTCCGAGACTTTGGAAATGCTTTCTCTATAGTTCACTTGTGGTGCACCAACATTAGCTTCTACCTATAAGTGACAAGTAGGAAAAAGTCACAAAATTCAAATACATACAAAGATGAACCTTTTGTTCTCAAAAAAATTATTTTTCTTTGTTGAGATCTCAAAAAATTCATATATGATGAGAATCGTCAAATTCCAACATAGAGCTGGTTAATATTGAATTAAACAAAAGCTCTGATTCTATTAATGTGCATGAATTTAGCAGAAGTGGAAAACATTACAATCAGACAGAAATAGATTAATTAAGCTCTACACACCAGCCTCAGAAAGAATCAGCATATGCAGTTAAAATATTTTCATCACCATTTACTTTCTGTTTTTGTTTTTGTTCTCTTATTTCTTTTTCCCTCATTTGTTGGTCATGCAATATAACTATCCTTGTTTATACATCAAAATAAACACAGCTTTAATATTTCATGCAAAAGGATTTCTCAGAACATAAATAAGTTAATAGCATTTGCAAACAGGTTTCATGCCTATATGTCAATGTGTGCACATACACCGTGTCTGTGTCTGTTATGACTCCTAAAAACACCATATAATGATAAAAACCAAAACAACCACAAAATTAACAAGAGACCCCATCGACCAAGTTGAAGATACAAACCTTAAATTCCCTCTTGAGCCGATCAACAATAATCTCAAGATGCAATTCTCCCATGCCTTCAATGACTGTCTGATTGACCTCTTCATCCCTTGAGAAATGGAAAGACGGATCTTCTTGAGCTAGTTTTATTAAGCCGGTTGCCATTTTATCGACATCAGCTTTTGTCTTAGGCTCAATTGCCACCTTTATCACAGGATCAGGAAAGTCCATTCGTTCAAGCACAATAGGTTTCTCCACATCACACAATGTTTCTCCTGTAATGGTATCTTTTAGACCTGCAAGAGCTACAATATCACCAGCTAAGGCTACCTTAACGTCCTCTCTGCTGTTAGCATGCATTTCTAGAAGTCTACCAATTCTCTCTTTCTTTCCCTTGTTTGCATTAAGTACATAAGATCCTGCAGTAAGCTTCCCAGCATACACCCTTACAAATGTAAGCGACCCCACAAAAGGATCGCTCATGATCTTGAAAGCTAGTCCAGCAAATGGTTCATCATCGCTGGCAGCCCTGTCAACCGTCACTTCTGGGTTCTCAGGGTCAGTCCCTTTCATAGGTGGCAAGTCAAGTGGAGAAGGCAAGTAATCCACGACCGCATCAAGCAATGGTTGAACCCCCTTGTTCTTAAAAGCTGAACCACATAAAACTGGCACAAAACTACTTGTGATGGTTCCCTTCCTAACTAATTTCTTTGTCGTTTCTTCATCAGGCTCAACTCCTTCAAGGTAGCTCTCCATAGCTTCATCATCCAACTCAACTATGGTCTCAATCATCTGTGCCCGGTAGTCCTGAGCCATCTCTTGAAGATCAGCCGGAATATCCTCGTACACAAACTTTGCACCCAATTCTTCTCCAGACCAAACTATGGCTTTCATCTTCACTAGATCAACAACCCCTTTGAAATTATCCTCTGAACCAATTGGTATTTGTATTACAAGGGGTTTGGCACCCAAATTTGTAACAATCATATCCCTTGTTCTAAAAAAGTTTGCCCCAAGACGATCCATTTTATTGACAAAACAAATTCTAGGTACCCCATATTTATCAGCTTGTCTCCACACCGTTTCAGACTGAGGTTCCACACCAGCCACACTGTCAAACAAACATATAGCACTGTCCAAAACCCTGAGAGCACGCTCCACTTCAAGTGTGAAGTCAACGTGGCCAGGAGTATCAATAATATTAATGCGATGTTTGTTCCAAAATGTGGTAGTTGCAGCTGAAGTTATAGTAATCCCTCTCTCTTGTTCTTGCTCCATCCAGTCCATTGTAGCTGTTCCTTCATGCACCTCACCAATTTTATAATTTCTCCCGGTATAGTACAGGATTCGCTCGGTTGTAGTAGTTTTCCCTGCATCTATATGAGCCATAATACCAATATTGCGATAGTCTTTTAATGGCACTGTTCGCTTTCCCTCTGAGAGAAAAGAAAGAAGAAATCCATGTATCCTGTGTCAGCAGGTGGGTAGAAATTTGCACTTGTATGAGCGGCACAGAAAACCTAATAAAAATCAAAGTATGCACAGCTACAGTATCTGTATATCCATATGATATAAAAAGTTGCTTAATATTTATTGAACAAATAGCATCACTGCATGAGTAATCATATAATCAACTATACACAACCATTATACGTGACCAAATCATCCATTAATAATTATCAAAGTATAACTGCATCTACCAATTTCAATCATTCTATCAGACTGAAGAAAGCAGTAGTGCAATTTACTAGCAGCTTTATCTGAGCCTTTAAGATTCAACGTGGCACTGATTTTTACAGCAAGCATGTGCAATGGGCATAACATGACTCCAAAATTACTTGGCAAGGTTTACAACTATGACAATGGAGTAAAGTCTGCTCTCAAAACAAAACTTAGACACTTACTAAATGGAAACCACCACTCAACTGTCCATTAGCTGATACAAAGATAGTACACTCAGAAATTTGGATGAGAAGACAAAGAAGTAATCCCATCCAGGATGCAAGTTGTTATTGCCGCTTGGCTAGGGAAATATTTAAGCGAATTTGCGAAGCACTATTGCACATTAGAACCCAAAATAGTGATAAAGCTTACCCGTGTTGCATTTTTTAGTGGTTAACAAAGATTTAACAATAAGAATGTACGCAGTTTGCCAACCGAGAAGTTAAGGACAGTACAGACTACAGATTGATCCGAAAGTGATCAAATAAGATAAAGAACCTTGATAACACCTCGTACGTAGAGCTCCATCAAATAACCTAATTGAGAGAAATTATGGAATACACTAGACTTCTTTCAATATGCAGGAAACATAAGGATAAAATTGGGAAAAATATAATCAAATAATTATAAAGACGAAAGAGTTTCATTCCCATCCCCAAAAAGACAATTTCAAGAAGCATGGCTTTAGCAAGTATGCAAACGGAAGCGAATTCATACACAGAACTTAAAAATTACAATTAGAGTCATTTCCACAACAAATTTAATTACTATGAACCGATATAACAACAAAAAATTATGAAAATTTCCTTCTGCCCTAAAGGGCACTGCACAATCTATCCAAAGAAGAACATTTCATCTAATTAACATATGCATTTCTACATATAAAGAGAGAGAGAGAGACCTTCAGCGACCATGGCGAACACGGAGAAGTTTCTTTTTTGCTGTTGGTGCTGTAAGGTAGGAAGCTTGGAAGTGGTGGAGCTGAGTCGAACAGTTCCGAAGAATTCGGAGAGAGAAGAAGAACCGAGAGAGTAAATACTGCTCCGCCGACGACGCAAGGAATTAAGTGGGAGGAATCTACGGTGAGAGACAGGAAGTGGCCTCCTTGACCCATTGAAGTTGCAGACTGAAGAAGCCGAAGACATTCTCACAGCTGACTCTGCCGCCATTCTTACTCTCTTTCTCTGCTCCCGTTCTTTCTTTAACAACTCTCTCGCTCTCTCTCCCCAGTGGTTTGCAGAGCGGTGGTTTTGGGGATAACGAAAACTGTGTGGTACCCGTTTGCGCTTTTGGGAACTTGGTGGCCTCGTCTTCGATCGTTCAGAGCAGGATATAATAATTTTAATTTTTAAGGGTAAAAATCTTAGTCCTGAATTTTATCTTTAATTCTGATTTCGTCTCTAAATTTTTAATTATTAATTTTATCTTAATTAAGTATTTTATCATTAACTGAAAGGTAATTCAATTAGATCTATTTCAACGTTCATTTAATAGTAGATATAAATGGAAGGTATGTATGGAAGTGCACTGGGAGAAAACAAATATTCGTCCAAATTTGTCTTATTTGAATAAGGATAAAATATATATATTAGATAATGAACATATACAAAAATAATTATAAAAATCTATACTAATATAAAGACGAGTATGTACTCAAACTTATTCTCGTCCCACTCCACTAAACCTATTAGTTTTTTACATATATATATATATATATATATATATACTCCCAATCACTATGTCAATTAGTATTGGATCTTTATTGTTTATGTCATGATATTATTTAGAATGTTATTATTATGAATTATGTTGTAGACAAATTTTTAATCTTATTAGTATTATTATTGTTATTTTTGAATTAATCATGTAATGATGTTATATATTTAGTTTCTACCCATTATTGCCTCCCCTAAATGCAATATTGAAGGTTTTTAAATTTTGAGTCATCAACTTTTGTTAATTTATTTATTTATTTTTGGTTTTGATTTGTGATTCATGCATGCAACTTGTAGTTAGGGATGACAGTGAACCGGGGAAAAATAGTTATTCGTCCAAATTTGTTCCATTTGGACCGGGGATGGACTATACGTATTGGACGGTGGATGTATACGAAGAAACCTGTATAAACCCATGTAGGGATGAAGGCGGGGATGAACTTACCCTTACCCCCACCGCGTCCCCGTTTACCCGTTAAGTATATATATATTTATATAAATGTAAATATATATACCCATTAAACTCTAATGCCTCCAACTTACTCCTTTTTTTGACTTTCTCTATTAGCAACGCCACCCCCTTTGAACTCAGAGACTCTTGCCTCTCTGTCTCATCTCATCTTCGAAGCCATAACTCACAAGTCAAGCGGCCCAAAGCACAACACAAGCATCCTAGGTTTTTCTTTTATGCCCAGAAAATCTGAACCCAACGGTTGGATTTCTTATTGAAGTTTTGGATTCCTTCTGTTCCTTCTGTTTTAGACTTTGGCGACTAAATTTTTTCTTTTAAAAGGGTTTTTCTTTTAAAATGGAATAAAAGGCTTTCTTTTAAAAGTCTTTATACAAGTTCTTGGAAGTTGGAACCTTTTTGTCATGTTTGAAGTTCTAATACTCTTACAAATCATCCACTTAATTTAGTTTATGCAATTTTTAAAACTTTGAACTAATGATTTCGAGAGAAGTTTTCTTCTTGCATTATTATTTTCCTGATGACAAGTTCTTAATTGGTGATTTTTTCCCCCTATTCAATATAGTCAAAATTTTCTTTGACTGGACATAAATTGTCAATTAAAAATATTATTTCTTGACTATGTTTAATTATTTCAAATTGGGTATTTTTATAGATGTGGTTCAGTGGTTGCTGGGAATCTCCCTTATGTTAAGAGTTAACATATTTCAGTTTGGATGAGATATGGTGGTAGATTATAGAGTCGTTTCTGTATGTTTTCTTTGAACCGCACTGAACTACATATCTAACGTATTAGTTGTTGTTGAAGTAAAGCTCAGGAAGCTTCATGGATGATGGTCCTTGGCCTTGGGCTTGACATATTTACATATCTAACGTATTAGTTGTTGCTGAAATGTTGGATTTATTTAGAATTTTGAATTATGTTTGCTTGAACTTGGATTTAAACTTAGACTTAGGTTTGGGCGGGTACGGGAAAGCGGGGACGGGGATTATAAATTTACCCACGGACGGGAATGGAGATGAAAATTATACCCGTTAGCGAGGGTGAACCGGGGATGAACGAATATTTTTTAAGTGGGTACGGGGATGAAGACAATACCCCTCGTCCCCCGCTTCGGTCCATTAACATCCTTACTTGTAGTTTAATTGTTATATTTTTTTTATCAATTATAAAAATTAATTGTTATGGGTTGGGGTGAGATAAGGGGGTTAGAATTATCTGATGACGAATGATGAAGATAAAAATTAGCCCTATTAACAATAGTAGACTGAGGATGAGCAAAGTTTTTTTAAGCGGGTACGAGATGGAAACTACTCCCCTCACCCTAGTCCACTGTCATCTCTAATGGAAAGACTTAATTGAGATAAAATTAATAATTAAGTGACTAAATTGAGACAATTAAAACTTCAATAACTAATTATAATTTTAATCCTAATTTTAAAATTTTATGAACCTTATTGCCCTTAAAAGAGCAACGGCTAAAAAGCTGCCACGTAGATCTCAATTTATATTATCCTTATATGGATTGGGGACTGGACGTGGGTCTTATCTCTTGCAATGTTTTCTATCTATCTAAAGTGGGATTTGGACTTTGAAGGTGGCCGTTGCCTGGACAGCCCACTAGGCCCACAGTGTTTGTCCGATCTGCAACGTGGCTTTAGCCCTGCCTGAGAACTTCAAATCACGGGACCAAAAAAATGATTTATAGTCGGAGGAAAAAAAAAAAAAAAAAAGAGGTTACTACAAGAGAATGGGAATTGGAGGAGAAATTTGTGAAATAACATAGTATTTTTTTTTCAGGAGTGAAATAAGGTAGTTAAAGTATATATATATATATATATATATATATATATAAAGTCAAGACATTATTACAAGGGAGCAGAACGATGAAGTTTGAACTTACAACTCTAAGGTCAAACAATTAAGGTGTCGTATATTAAACTAATCGCTAACCTCGACATACTAGAAGCTCACATTCAACAATTAGGAAGGAGGTTTGGAAATTTTGTGGTCCGTTAAAAATTTAGCACGCTTGAAGTCTATTCGTATATTTTATTTTTGAGAAAAAATTTTACATACCAAAATGGAAGGTAAAATTTTTATTTATTTTTTGTTTGGGACAAGTGTAATATTAATAGCTTTATTTTTTAATCATTCTTTCAGTAAATAATATTTTGGATATTTCAGAAATTATATAAGGGCTTTTGTAAGTTGGTACTTAATTTATCACTTAATTGTGAAAAAGTACTCAATATAAAATATTTTATACAAAATTTTTTTTTTTTGGATGACATAAATTAGCACATGGAGCAAAGAATGAATAAAGAAACTGTCATAAATTATGCAATAATCTCATTAAATTTGGCAATTGTTATATCCCTAAAAACATGAGTTTTCAAATTTTAAAAAATAAAATATGCTACAAAAAATCCTGAACTTTCAACAAAAAAAAACACACACACACACACAAAAACGTTGAAACACCATTGAAGACCGATCTTCCTTTTATTATTATTCAAATTGCCGATAATATAACATTACAGTGATGCATAATAGTATAACACATTCATTAACACTTTAATCACTAACAAAAAATTGTGAAATTATATTCACTGATTCATACACAATCTAAATAGTATGCATTATATAATGTGACATCTATATATATTACTTTTAATGAAGAACAGTGTTACAACTTATATCATAATGTAATATTGCAAAATGACACTGTTGTTAGAATTGAGAATAATTAGAGTTGTTTAACATTAAAAAAATAAATAAAAAAATAAAATTCCAAAATCTGGGTCAAACAGTTAAGGTATATTCTATGTAGTATAATTTTTAATTTCAAACATGTTTAATACCTTAAAATATGAAACCATCGATATAATAAATTAAATCCCATAAAAAATGGGACTGTTAAATTAATAGGCCTCCAAATAAGAAAAAAAATATTTAAGTGAAAATATTTGAAAATCTGCCAATATGTATCGAATTTTGTATAAATGATGTGATTGAATCTCGGTCACATAATTTTTGGTGTAGGAGTATTTATCCCAAAATTTATAGCAGATTCTGACTTTAGTGTGCGTGCAAGATCCTGCACAATATAAAAAATATTGGGAACAGACCTCTCCCCTGGTGAACTTTGAGTGAGCCGGTTGAGTGGCCAAACACGCTGCTTGAAACAGCCTGCAAGGTACGGTGGCAACCTGGAACGGCAAAGGAAGATCCTGGGAAAGGAAGAACGATCCTGTACGTATGAAAGGTTTTCCTAGAATAAAGAGGAACAAGTTAGAAGGGTGCCGGAGTGTGTTCCGGCGTATCCCCTCCGACGGTCTAGTCAGTCTTTGAATGAGAGAGAGGAAGAAGAAAACACTGAGAAAATCTGTATTGTAGTCGAGAGTTTGTGATTGCCTACCTCCTTTGCCTTTTGGGAGGAGTATTTATACCTTAAAAGCTCATGATTGCTGTCAGTGTGGTCAGTAGGTGATCATTAGGCACAGGCAGCGTGTGTATTGATTTGATGAGGAATGTCCTCTCTAATTGACTGCTCGGGGTCCCGAGCAATCAATGCTGGGTCGTCGGGACGCCGACGGTACAATATGCTCCTTTCGGGAAGGATGCAATAAATGCTCTGTAATAGGAGCATTTATTGCCTTTCATATCCGAACCTTACCGCATTGAATGCAGTCTCGTCAACAGAAGGGTGCAATTAATTGTTTGCTTTCCCAAGCCATGTGTCAGTATCGGCGTGCAGTTTGTCTGTCTTTGATGTGACATCATTTGCCACGCGTCCATCCCTTACTGACTGTGATTACTGTGTTCCGGTATGTTCTGACATTACTTGTGTAAGACGAGGTCATGATGAATAGTCTAGACTGGCATAGGCTGATGATTCGTACGTCAGTAGCTTTACCTTGGAGTAGAGGAAGCGTCCAGGACGGAGTAACTCTCGGCACCGAGGAAAGGCTCCCCTCGGGGACCGAGAGTGGTATGTTTCCGAGGTACATGGGTGACCGAGGACACGTGTTGTTGTATAATACACCGAATGCATGATCCTATATGAGAGGTACCTCGGGGGCGAGGACACTCGTTGCCGATGGTGCTTA